GGGTGAATCTGCAAACACACTCCCAGGCAGGTGAGATTTAGAGGAGGAAATAGGGTATAGGGATTGCTTCTTCCTATGTACCAGGCACAAAGTTGTCCAGGGAGCTTTAGCAGTAAGAATCACACACGTACATACACACACAGAGAAAGAGATGCAGAGGAGTCTAGACTTCTTAAAGCCTTTTCCTTGCTGGTTCTGTCTGGCAGAGCCTGAGTTTTGAAATACCAATGCCTTTTCATGTCATTCTCAGCTTTAATTTATTCTTTTTTTGAATCAATAAATATCCCTCCACTCCTCCATCTGGAGGATTCCTCCTTCATCCCACCACTGCCAAGCTGATCAGAGCCACCTATGCAATGCCATTTGATCCAGAACATATTTCAATCTTGGCCCGTTCTCAACCTCATAAATTCCTGACATGATTCGGGAGGCGTTCCTGTTGGAAATAGCTCTCTGCTCCGCTGTCGTATTTATAGAGATTGCTGCTGCCTCTGATCTGAGGCCAAACATTAGGAATAACTGCAGCAGGAAGCAGGACAGAGCTCGACATATTGTTTGTCTGGATTGTTTTAATTTCAGGATCATGGAATACCCCCATTTATTGATGTTAGGAGAGGAGGAAAAAAAAAAAAAAGGGAAAATAAAAGCATTGTTCAGGAATTTTCTATTTTAATTTTTTCCCTTTTTATTGCTTTTGTTAGAGGCAAAGAGGGAATCGTTACGTTTGTGCTGAGGACAGGGAGGTGAATTAGATGTTGGTGACTTATTAATTCAGGAATCCTGTCCCTGCAGATTAGAGCAGAGGTTCCCACTTCTTTATTCTCTGCTTGTTGAAACAAAGCCAGGCAATGCACATGGCTCTGCGTACGTGTATGTGTGTCTATGTGTGTATGACATGTGTGCATGACAGTGCAGAGATGTAGGTGGGCCCCTGGAAACTTTGTCCATGCACCCCTGAGCATCACAGAAACACCAAGCACTGGTGAGGGCTGAAGCTGCTCATGGACAAGGTGCTAAGGCTGGCAGTTTGGAAGGAGCCACCCTTCCAGCCAGGAGATGGCCCTTACTCAAGGCGTGAAGTCCTTGGCCATGGGCTCGGAGTTGAGTAGGAAAACACAGGATGGAGATGCCAGGAGCCTTCAGACACAGCGTGTCTGAACTGGGAAGGCTGTGTTTGGAAGTGAGAGACAAATGCACATGCTGGGAGCCTGCTGAAGTCGACAGGAAAAGGTTTTTCACTTCAGTAGACGTTGGATGACATTGGAGGTGCAGCTGAGAGGGAGGATGGGGAAAAGGACAGAGCAAAGTCTTCCCTGTACAGGGGTATCAGGCAGTCTATGGGGGGAACAATGGCGTGCCTGGTGTTCAGAAACCCCATCATAAATGTCTCCCACCCCTGTCTGGCCATCAACTAACTGTGAGGGGGTTTAGGACACTACTGAAGCACAGAGTGAGCTGATGAAGTGGGATCTCACTGCAGAGAGGCACTGCACTGTCTTCTCCCACCGCCATGCTTTCCTTGTAGCATTACTCTGATACAATGGGGATTTAGACTGCCCCAATCCTACTGCCTTCAGAAAGAGTACTTAAAGACTTAGGTATCTTTTGTTTTGGTAAAATCATGGAATCATAGAATCACAGAATGGTTTGGGCTGCAAAGGACCATAAGATCATCCAATTCCAACCCCTCCTTAGGGTCTTTCTTAGGTACATGTTAAAGTACGTTCCTAAGTAGGCATCCTGAATTTGTGCAATTGTGTCTCGAGAAAGAAACCCGAGTGTGATTTCATTGCTGGGCAATAGCACTGGGAAAAGAGGTCTCTTCTGCCAAATCCTGGGCTGTGCTGGTTCAAGCCTACCCCTGTTGCTGGTTACAGAGAGCTCTGTTAATTGAGCATAGATATGGAGTAAGCTGCTGTAAGTTCAGAGGAGAAAACCATCCACGTTTCCAGCAAAAGCTACAATCATATTAGCTTGACACAAGGGAATAATGAAGGGCTCTACTCAGAGAAGAAAATAGCAAGAGCCAACAACGGGGAGCTGAAGCCAGAAAAACATTGGTTATGAGCAAGTGAGCCTTGTAAATGGAAGGGGGAGGTTGACAGCCTGGGGCAAGCTATCAAGGAGTGGTTGAAGGGTTGGCCAATCGCTAGGGTGCCTTTAGGAAAAGATACTTTAAACAAATCCAGGTCACTGGGCTCAGTCCAGCTTTGAGGTGAATGTGCCTGTGCTGTGCTATGTGGGAGACCAAATGAGGGGTTTGACTGTTTCTGCCATCCTCAATGTCTCTGAATAGAGAAATGCCAGGAATCACTTGTGGGCTTCCTAAGCTGATAGAGAAAATGGAGATGAAGCCATCTCACATTGCGTCTTGGATTGTCAGTGCTACTGTGTGTTTGCACTTTGTTCCCAGCAACCTGTGAAATAGTTCAGACACAATTCTGCAGTGGTGGAGAACAGATAAGAAATAATCTGTGCTGTGTGTCTGGCTTCACAGGGAGAGAAAGCAATTGCCTTGACTCACTGCTATGTGAAAGTTCCTTTAGTATCATAGAATCACAGAATGGCTTGGTTTGGAAGGGACTTTAAAGCTCATCCAGCTCCAACCCCTGCCACGGGCAGGGACCCCTTCCACTGGAGCAGCTTGCTCCAAGCCCCTGTGTCCAACCTGGCCTTGAACACTGCCAGGGATGGGGCAGCCACAGCTTCTCTGGGCACCCTGTGCCAGCGCCTCAGCACCCTCACAGGGAAGAGCTTCTGCCTTATTACATCCAACCTGACCTTCCCCTGTTTCAGTCTGAACCCATCACCCCTTGTCCTATCACTACAGTCCCTGATGAAGAGTCCCTCTCCAGCATCCTTGTAGCCCCCTTCAGACACTGGAAGCTGCTCTGAGGTCTCCACGCAGCTTCTCTTCTCCAGGCTGAACAGCCCCAACTTTCTCAGCCTGGCTCTATATAGGAGGTGCTCCAGCCCCTGATCATCCTTGTGGCCTCCTCTGGACTTGCTCCAACAGTTCCATCTCCTTCTTATGCTGAGGACACCATAACTGCGCACAATATTCCAAGTGTATCCTTCATTACCTTTCTAAGAGCGGAGACCAGCACTTACATTCCCTTTGATGTTGAGTCTACTGCCTCAGTAAAACTGCCAGCAGCTAAAGGAGGATGGAAAATAAATGTCTGGAACAATATGAAGGAAGAACCAAAATAGGTCTTGCTGTATCCAGGCTCGATCATTCTTTCCTGAGCTCCTGCATCTTCTTAGAGGTAGGAGAGAGTCTAACCCAGTGCAGCCTTTCCTACATTATTATATGGAGGAAAACTCATAGACATGCAGCAAGAAGTGCAGATGAAAGGGTGGAAAAAAGGATGGAATAATTCTGGTTTTCATCCAGAAAGCTGAGGCAGCAAAAACTTTAAAGGGAATAAAGCAATTCTTTTGAGTCTAACTACATCTGTGTCATTCCAGTTACACCTTCCCATGGAGCTGACCACCTCAACCCATAACTGTGGCTGGCAGTGGTGTTACCCTGGAGTCTTTGCCACAGTTAAGTCACAGTAACCTCCCTCTAGGAAGAGAGCTAGCCTTGAGAAACTAAACAAGATCAACATTGCCTTGAATCTTTTAAGTGACTCCCAATGTGCTGCCTCCCTCAAAACCTATGCTACTAAAAAATGTTCCTTTTATTTGAACATAAGGATAATGGAAAGAGGGAGAACATAAAATAGATGGTGAGGAAGACTGGGACAGATGCCAGAAGATCTGATGCTAATCAGATCCAGATAATGTCCACATCCAATATCATCTTCCCTGGGGATGGTACCCAGGATGCAGCGCCAGGAGGATGTCAATGCCGAGACTCCAGCACTTTGCCTACACCACCAGGGAAAGGGAATCTGCAAATATTTAGTCTGCCAGGGAGACTGTTCCAATCAGTGGATGTCAGATCAAGGCTTAAATGAAGCTGAAACATGTAAGGGTTTGGACAGAGCTTACCCAAGTCACACAAGGGTCATCACTTACTCAGAACTATTAGTATCTGACAAGCATGCACATCCCTAGGCACTTAAACCAGAAACTGCTTAATTTACACTAGCAGTCATGGGATGGATCCCATTTAATGTGAATTCCTGCATCCCCAGAAAGATGAGCTTGGGCTGATTTCATTGCTTCTCATCCCCTGGAAATCTGCTTATTCATAAATAAAACCCCACCATCATTATCTGAAATGGGGGAAGGAGCCTTAGTCACAGAAGACAGGGTGTCATCACTCAGCTGTGTTATTACTAGCTTCACCCTGGCCCTCGATCCTAATATGGTTACGGGTAATGCTTGCACCAAGAGCCGTGGGCAAGTGAGGACTTGTTTGGAAATGAAGGGACAGGCACTGCAGAGCTCCACATGAACATTCAAGTGAAGAGAGTCATATCACCAGATGCACAACACCAACACTATGTTGGTTGTGGGATGGGTCCTGTTCTCACCCTCCTTCCTTTTTCCACACTGTAGCTATAGGTTTTCTTCAAATAAGGGCAGGAAAATCTCTCAGGTCAAGACAACAAGGAGATCAAGAACAACTGACAAGGTGGAATTCAAAGGACACCATTTCACCCAAAATCAGTGAATGGCTAACAGATAGGAAACAGTTTTTTTTGGTCCTTGTTCCACTGATGTTAAACCAAGTTTTGCAGCTCTATCTGCTGCATGAAAAGGGCTTCATCAGTGCTTTCTGCCTTTGGGCATATCTTCCTGTCTGAAGCAAGAAGGACATTTTCAGAAGACTGATTTTAGGTTCAGGGTTGCTGAATTATGTGGCTTTAGGTGAATGAGACAGGGGCAAACTGGAGAAACAAAAAAGCTGCTGGTTTAGTGTGCATCAAGTTTTGGAGGCTGAAACTTCCACTTTGCACCTTGTGAAAACCAAAGTGTCTCAAATGAACATGTAAAACCTTAAGTTTTGCAGCCCTTTAGCCTCTTCGCTTTCCTGGTACAGTATACACAGTCCTATGGAGGAGGATTTACAGGACACGGTCTTCATTAATGGAGCCCATCTCAGCCTTGCAATCCTCATGCAGAGGAACAGCAGGAGTTTCTTTAGGACTCCTCACCACACAGGGGTTGGTTGTTTGTGAAAATGGGATGTCTTGGAAGGAAACTTGCATCTGAACTCCTCAGCAGGTGAGCCCCAAATGTGTTTTATTTTACTCTTCAACACACAAAGCCAGGCCTGATGGATTTGATAGCCTTTCTAGTCCATCAGTCTGACAGATTGGAAGGGAAAAGGAATGTTTTCCAATTCCATGAGAGCTTTTGGTGCTTTGCAGATGATCCCTTTCGTGGTGCACCCTGTCCTCTGACTGGATAAGGAAATAATGTTAGATATAAAGGCTGTGATTGACAGTCAGGCAGACAGATGCATTTTCTAGTAACAAAAGCCAGACAGATAGTTGGACTGTTTCTCTAAGCCAACCTCCAAAAACCTGCCCTTGGCATAAAGAAACTCAGGGAAGGAATCTGTCGAATCTCCTCAATCTTAAAACACCAGCAAGAAATTACTCCCAGCCCTTACATTTCCCTCTGCTTTTGTGCCGTAACCTTCTTCACTTACCCTCCAGCAAATCTGCTGTACCAGATGACAGAGTTCAAGCATAAACAAGAGGTTTCAAGGCTCAAACCTGATTCCTTCCTTTCCCATTGCAGTCCTCCCCTATTGACTGTTTCCCACAATTAGGGGTCCCTCCATTCCCAAAACTGCTTTAAGTATAAGCGTGCTATCACGTTACTTTCCCTTGGGCAGACGCTACCTTTGGTAAAGTCCTCTTTTCTGTGTCATTTTTCTTTTCCTTTTCTTTTTCCTCAAAGAGGAAAATTACAAATACAAGTAGCCATAGCAATAAATCTCTGCCCATGTTTCACATTCCACCCTGCCCCTTTAATATATCTGTTTATATATATAATAATGTATCCGTTATGCACCATTTATGCACCGTGCTTAGCACCATTTCACAACACCTTTTGCAGGAAGATCAGCCAAATATTTATTGGTTTTGCAGAATTTCAAGGCTAAATGTTGAGTTCACACAGGTTTCTCTGTCTCATCTTAGTCTATAGCTTAGCTATGGTACATATAGGTAATGTAGGGTCTATATCTGGCCCACGGTGTAAGGAAAGACAGAGATAAGGTCTATCAGTGGGCTGTACCAGAGATGTTACCCCTTGATGCAAAGACCTAGAGTATTTTCTAACTCTCAAGTATGTTGTACAATGATCTGGGGCTGACCTTTGTTTTTAGAACAGGAAATTCTCCAGGATGTATTTTCTGGGGGTACGTGATATTTTGCATATATTTCTGTATCTGCTGCTAGCTCATGGCCCATGTTCCTTCTCTGTCCCTCCGGTCAAGTCTCAGCAGATTTGTAATCTCTTACATCTGCATCTGTAGCTCGTATGTGCAATGGGCAAACATACTTGTGGATTCAAAGAACTGTTTTCTCTTATAAGCCCTTTACTTCTCGGTACATGGAGCTCTCTTACACATTTGTGTTTTGTTCCAAGGAAACAGTCTGGTGCTGGAAAAGACCCCAGAAAAGCATCCTAGAAGTTCTCCAGCTTGTGAGAAAGGTAAGGTCTGGTCTTTGGCTGTCTTCTTTCTCTTCTTGTCTTGCTTTCCACTCCTTTTGGTTCTTTCATGCTGTGCAAGTATTTGGACTTTGGTGCTTGAATCGGAGCACCATGCTGGTCTTCAATGAGAGGATTTCTCCCCTAGAGAAAGACTCACCAGGCATCGCCTTTGCTTCCTTCATTATGGTTTTAGCAAATAAAAACTGCTGTTTCAGCTTTGCTGTTTGGTCACGGTCAGAGGGCGACATGCTGGGCCAGGATTTCTCTTCCTGGGTAAATCATGCAAAGTTACTGCAAGTCAAACAAGGTGCCTTCTGAAATGCCTTTTTGCTTTATTGCATTTCCTCTGACAGTTCATCTGCCTCCCCTTGGTCTGAGCTGTTGTCTGTAACGATGAGGTAGTTTGTGTGGTTTGCAATGAAAAGGTCCTTTCCTAGTTTGTTCCAAAACCTGCTGGGGATGCTGTATATTTTCCTTGTCTCTGTTTGTTGCTTGGCCAGCGTTTCCTTGCCTCTCTAACATCTGCTCACCAGACCCCAGATATCCTTGATCGCATTTGGCCAGTATGAGGCACCTCTCGTGCTCTGGTGCGTTCTTGGGAGTGCATCTGCTCACAAAAATCTGGTTGCTGTGATCCAGCTGCATTTGTGTCTGAGCCGTCTCTCCCATGGGGCTCCTCATCTCTCTATTTCCAGCTAGTAGTGTCTCTCTGTCTTCTTTTCCATGGCTTTTTGTGCATCCTGTTGATATCTGGTGAACTTTATGTCTGTTCTGCACTTTTACATAGGCAGGAATTCACTTTTGCTATACTCTCAGCTCTTGGTAGTTCTAAAGAGAACTCTACCAAGTTCAAGAGAACTGGATAGAGCTCAGCATGAGGGTTGACAATTCAGGGGTTTGGACAGCTGGGGATGGTTGTGAAGAATTGCTGTCCTCTTTATCCAAGAATTCACTAAAGGAGCTTTGTTTCCTGCCTCCTTCACTCCCCAGCCCCATTATCTTCCTACCTTTGGCTTCCACTGTATCATCCCACTTAGGCTCTCCATCTCCTCCAACCACTCAGTGCCCACCTCCACCTCTTCTGCTTTACCTCCATTCCTTGTCTAGCCTCTTAATGTGCTGATATTTCAATCCATAGATTTTAGACCTCATTTTACCCAACCTCAGGTAGCTGGCTGTGGTCAGGAGCACCCTTGATTAGCTGCAAGTAATGGAGACAGCTTCAGAAGGCATGTCAAATAGCTTGTTCCTTGATGCTCAGGGTAACTTCATTCACTGTCTCTGGGGCACTTTACCTGCTATTTGTAGAAATAGCAGGTGAAGAAACCACCTTCTTTCCAGAAACCCCCTTCTTTCCAACTTTTACATGCACAGTCCAGAGGAAAACATGAAAGTTGGTAAGTTCTTGTGAGTCTTTTCATTCCGACTCCCACATCTTTCATTGCTATTACAAATTCTGTGTAATTTGGCTGTGGTTTGACCTGTTGTTTCTCCAGATTTTTGACCTCTGTCATGAATCTTTCATTCAGGACATTTGCTGTGGTCTGACAGTGATTTTAGAGTACAATTAGAATGTATTGGGTCCTCTGGTGAGTTGCGGATGCATCCAGATGAGGGCTGACCATGTGACAGCCATTGCCTACTACAGCTTGTAGTGCAGCAGCTTGTATTTAGCTTTATTTCTTAACCGTTGCAATACCAGGCAGCAAGCACCAATCTCCTAAGCAGGGTTTGGTGGGAGTCAGGGCTGTAATTCAGTGCCAGGGATGTGATTACTCTCTGGCTTTTGCTCCTCTTTCCACTAGTCTCCGCTTTGGATTTCCTAGATTAGGATTTCCACTATGATTTCCTACATTTGAAGTTAGGATCATGGCCATAATCTAAGTAGAAAACCAGCAATTCCCAAACCTGATACCGTCCTATTTTATTCTTTCTGCCTTAAACACAGACCTATCTCATGAAACACTTCCCCAAGCAGAGCTGCCTGCATACCCAGATGTTGTCTGAGCATCAGTGTGCTGCAGTGGTCCCACAGGGAAAAACACATGCCATAACCCTCCAGAAGTAAATTTTCCTTGTCTGGCCTTCCTACATCCTGACATCGCTTCTCCCCTATGCATAGCAGGGATTGCAGCAGCTCATGAGGCCTGGGAGTGTGTTGGACAGGTTGGAAATACCCCACAAGAGGTTTCCAAGAGACCAGAAGTGGGCTTTGGTTGGAAAGCCAGTCTATAGATTTCCTTGTAGCTCTTTGGAGGTGATGAGGGAATGCAGTTGCACCCCTCTGTCTAGCCAGAGGCCATGAGATGGAGTGGGTTGCTGAACTGGACTCCAGAGACCTCAGCTTATTGCCTGATCTAAGGCAGAAACAAAAGATGAGAGCAAGCAAATCTCTTCCTCCCCTTTTCTCCTCCTCTCTGATAGCATGTCTTTTCCATTTAGAGATTATCTCTCTATGTGTATCCACAGTGCACTGGGGGCTCATACTCCCCACTTCCAAACACTGCTTAAATACAAAGGAAATTAGAGGAACCATTACCCGATGCCTGGGGCTAAGCTTGCGTTCCTCATCACCTTCAAAGGTCTGATCAACAGCTTGCATTGAGGTCGAATCCCTTTTTCTCATTCTTTGCAATACCTCTCTTTATGGGATCATACTTTATTGCTTTCTTTCCAAGTGTTTCATTACAAACTCCATTAATGAACCACTAGGGGTAGCCAAATGTGTTTGGTTGCATGCAGGACCTCAAGAGAGGATTATGGAGCACATTCACCACAAAGAGCCTCAGCTTGCTTGCAAACAAGGCAGCCTAATTAATCCTGCTTCCTGCCCTAACAGATGAGCTCTCGAGACAGAGACCTCCCTGAACTCTGGTCTTTGGGGAGATCTGGAAGGACATCAGATGCTCCAGAGCTGAGAACTTGGTGCAGGAACCTGACCCCCTCCAGACCCAACATAAGTCCAGCAAGATAAACCAATGATGCTTGCCACATGGCTGTCACACATCCCAGTGCTGAGGCCACCGGCCTCCCACTGGGGCTATAAAACACACACTGGAGAATACTGGGAATGAGAAACCTCTCCCCACAGTTTAAATGAAAAGGCTGGGAGAACGAATTGCAGAAATGGCTGACATGGCCACCTCTCTTGACAACTTTACCTCTTGTGAGATGGTAACTTAGGAGGAAAAGACAATTTTGTATAGGTCATCTTCCATCTTCACCCTCCTTCAGTCTCTCCTCCCTGTGTTATTTATGTACAGCCATAAACTGCTGTTAACGACACTGTGCAATAAGGAAACAGCACTGCTGTAACATTGATGGGGAAACTACATAAACTTAATGACTTCCCAAGGTCACAAAGGCAGCCTGTACTTCGGGCATGGGATGTACCGAAGTCCTCCTGCATCCCACTTTAGTGCCTTGGTGGGCTTTTTCTTTCCATGTTTCACTACATGGATGAAACCCAAGAGAGATAAGTGAAGCAAGCATGACCCTGTTCTGCTGGAAAACCAGACCAAAGGCAAATGGCTGTGATGCTTTGGGTCCCAGTGCAC